AGTGATCAATGTGACAGATGCTAGGAACACGACACATTAATGTAGACTGAATATACACAAAAAAAATCTTACTTAATCAATACTATCACAATGTCAGGTGATTCATTCCACATACAGTCACATCACTGAGAGCTGATTGTTGGCCTCATGGTGAGTGAGTGAGTTAATATTTAACATCACATCGGCAGTATTTCAGCCATATCATGACGATGGCCTCTTGGTTAAGTGTCAGCTGGTCGTGCCGGAGTTTGATTTCACAAACCGGTGTCTGCAAGTTGGGATATTGCTGTAATATAGCTCTTTTGGGCATAATATGAGAAATCCAATTATCCTCAAAAGTATACTGCTCGGAAGAAATCATGGCATGGCAGATTAACTATAGTAATATGGAATCTCTCCCCTTTTCTCTCTTTCACTCTCTCACTCTCTCTTAGGATAGAGTGGTGGGGTAGCTTAGTGGATAAAACATTCACTCGTCACGCTGAAGGCCCAGGTTCAAATCCCAATTTTTGGAGTTTCCCGCTGTAATTTTCCTGGAATATTGCGAAAAGCTGTGTAAAATCCATCACTCACGAACTCACGAACTCACGAACTCACTCACGAACTCACTCACGACATCACTCACGAACTCTTAGGACAAGAGCGCCTCCCTGGTCCAGAGGTACAGCGGCCGCCTCTAAGCTGAAGGTCTGGGGTTTGATCCACGGCCGCGTCATACCAAAAGACGTTATACCCTGTCATGTTACCCTGTCTAGCACTCAGAATCAAGGGGATAAAACAAGGACTGGTCGGCTCGTCAGTATACTCTGTCTGAGTGGGGTATTCATGTTAAACTGTGGCATGGTATCTCAATGTGCTAGCACTATAAATCACCATCAGTCCAGACTAGTACAAGCAGACATACACGCACACATGCTTGCACGTCGCTAAGTGCAATAATCTTGGACACAACGTTTAACCCCATTTCACCTGACCTCACTCACGGGACAGATGTGGGGTCATGTTAAGGCCCCGCCCCAGGCCATAATTCATGGGGTGACTCCTGCTGTTGTGTAAACTCAATGTAGTATTGATTCATTCAGATAAGCCAGATCAATGTGACTTACACTACTTGCATAAACTAGTGCAGCATGTATAATACATGACTTGCTCATGTTACCATAGTATTGAATGAAATAGGGTCTGCTTGTCTGGTGCAGGTTACGTAACAGGTCATAGACATGGCAAAAGTCAATAGCATACCTTTTAGAGGGTTTTTATCTGTAATATTTTCATGGCTCAAGTTTGTATGTTTTACATGCTCCTTTTGAAAGAGGGTTTCTGCATTCCTTTGAAAGCTTGCATTACCGTATTCGACGTAATAAGCGTCCAGCTTTAATAAGCGCCCAAGGCGTCATTTGCTAAGATATTGGCTAGTGAACAATCCCAATTAGCACCCCTTCTGATTGATCAATGTTCACAAGACTTATTTATTCACGTATAATACGCACTCGTGTGTTATATGGGCATTTAATTCTGGAAAAATATATCTGTCGTACATAAACATTTCAGGCTGTCAGCATAAACCACAAAATTTATCTTTCAACTCTGTATTTTTCGCCCAAATAACATTCTAATAAGAGCCCCTTAATTCTAATTTTGACAGCGCCCTGGGCGCTTATTACGTCGAATACGGTATGTTATGATAGTGTTCAGAAAGCACAGACACAATGTCTGGGATTCTTTGTCAATATACTGCTGTGATATAACCTTTTCATGCAGAACATGTGATCAGATTATTATGGGGTCGGGCTTTACGAGATCACAAGAAACTCAGAGGAAACTCACCCGGAACTCACAGGAAACTCACAGGGATTTCACACGGAATACAACTGAAGTCTGGATTGCTTTGAAGTTCAACATTTCAACAATGAGAATAGATGGATTGTTTTATTGTAGCCTTGTGGTTGAAGCATTTGCTCGTCACGCCGGAGACCTGGGTTTGATTCCCTATATGGGTACAGTGTGTGAAGCCCTTTCCTGATGTCTCTACCCTGATATTGCTGGAAAGTTGCTAAAAGCAGCATAAAACCACACTCACTCACTCACTCACTCACTCACTCACTCACTCACTCACTCACTCACCATGCTCACTCACTCACTCACTCACTCACTCACTCACTCACTCACTCACACTCTCACTCACTCACTCACCCACCCACAAACCCACCCAATTAGGAATATGTCATTAATAATTTTTGTGGAAAGATTTAACATTTATTAAAACTATCTTATGTATGTCAGCAGATCTGTGTTATTAGTAATATTTCTATGCAGATATTAATAAGGGGATACACTATTTATGAAGTTTTGGGCCAGAATAGGTCCCCAAGACTTCTCCCACTTGGCCTGAGATCAATGACAAGGGAAAAACAGCCTGTCAAGATGTTTGACCTCCCGAATTGGATCACTGCCACTGACCACTGGTGCCTGGATAAGACTTTATTAACACATTGATATTCTATTGCAAGAATATTGCTTATATGTTGCTGGAGCATAAAACAACATTCACTCACTCTGACTTTGTTATAAGTCTTCCACACAGCTTACTGTCCTTTGAGATAAATACGATAAAATTATCAACAATCATTTATCACAAAACATGTTATAAAACCTGGTACTAGATGGTATGAATGAATTCGGGTCCCTGTTTGTTCTCAGCATCAGCAAACACTTTCAACAACGTCATAATAATGGATCTCTCTGTGAATTTACAGACAACCTGTCGTCATGTTATTATGTAACTATAATTGTATCAGTGACTATTTTCATTATCATATTCAAGTCGCACAAATTCCAGACCGGCTTAGCTATTTAGTTATATCCTTGATTTGATGGCTGGCCCAGTCGTCTAAGGCGCCGTGATTTGCTGTGCAGAGTTGTGTCCCTTGGGCACACCAGGAACCTATGATTGTGGGTTCGAATCCCGGTTCGCCCCGATTATGTTTCTAGGTTTGTCAGCACCATACCCGTACGCTTGAGTTTCGCCGAAGTGGTAAACGTCTGAGACCTGCATCACTTGGGGCTTTCCTCCCACATTAAGCTGACATGCCGTGATATAACTGGAATACTGTTAAAAGCAGCGTTAAACCAAACTGACTGACTGACTGACTCACACTGACTTGATTTGATGGGTTCCGCATGTGTCTGTTTGTCCCCATGACTTACCATGCTTCCTACACGAGTGAACTGATGTGGCTGATGTTGTTAAATGAGGCATGGAGTGTACAGTCACGAGTGTGCATGATGGGGTGATGTGGAGTACACATTTCCTGAAGATGGGGGGATGCTACGTGATTGAGCGGCATGGCTGGAGATAAGTCAGCAGGACTGGGAAGAGCATTTTTTGTGAATGAGTTAAGATAGGGTTTGCTTGCAGAAATTGTTTTTCTGAAAACATTTGATATCCTTTTGATATGGGCAATGATGTGAGGGTTTTAAGTGCAATGTTGTTATGGACCTGTGGCTGGTGAGGCTGAATCACTGCAAACTCAACCACCCAACAGCTCAATCACCAACCTGAGCAGTAGGGTTGAGTTTTTCGTGATGAATACCCTACCACCTATCTATTAGGATACCCCCAATTTGAGTACCCTCCCATGAGGATACCTCTCTCTCATGAGGATACCTTCCCCTCCCATCAAGATACCCTCCCCTCCCATCAGGATACCCTCACCTCCCATCGGGATACCCTTCCCTCCAATCGGGATACCCTCTCCCTCTAATGAGGATACCCTCCCCCTCTAATGTGGATACCCTCACCTCCCATCAGGATACCCTCACCCTCTGATAAGGATACCCTCACCTCCCATCGGGATACCCTCCCCTCCCATCAGGATACCCTCACCTCCCATCGGGATACCCTTCCCTCCAATCGGGATACCCTCTCCCTCTAATGAGGATACCCTCACCCTCTAATAAGGATACCCTCCCCTCCCATCAGGATACCCTTCCCTCCAATCGGGATACCCTCTCCCTCTAATGAGGATACCCTCACCCTCTAATAAGGATACCCTCCCCTCCCATCAGGATACCCTCACCTCTCATCAGGATACCCTCACCCTCTAATAAGGATACCCTCACCCTCTAATAAGGATACCCTCCCCTCTAATAAGGATACCCTCCCCTCCCATCAGGATACCCTCACCTCCCATCGGGATACCCTCACCTCCCATCGGGATACCCTTCCCTCCAATCGGGATACCCTCTCCCTCTAATGAGGATACCCTCCCCCTCTAATGAGGATACCCTCCCCTCCCATCGGGATACCCTCACCTCTCATCAGGATACCCTCACCTCCCATCGGGATACCCTCACCTCCCATCGGGATACCCTTCCCTCCAATCGGGATACCCTCTCCCTCTAATGAGGATACCCTCCCCCTCTAATGAGGATACCCTCCCCTCCCATCGGGATACTCTCACCCTCTGATCAGGCAGGATACCCTCACCCTCTGATCAGGATACTCTCCCTTCCCATGAGGATACCCTCCCCTTCCCATCAAGATACCCTCCCCTTCCCATCAAGATACCCTCTCCCTCCAATCAGGATACCCTCCCCCTCCCATGAGGATTCACTCACTCATTATTGTTTACAGATGACACAAGTACGGTATGCTCATCATCAAAACAACAGCAATATATACCATATGTTCGCTAGAAATGTAATGAACATGATTACTCATAGAGCACCCAAATTGTTATGAATATCTTAATCAAAACATTAAAGTGATGACTGCACAACATATACACAGTATCATGCTTAGAGGACCCAGTAAATATGGAGCAGGCATAGGTGTACATGCCCTGTAGAGTTATCTCCCTTTCCACGTCATTCACTGTTGATTTGGTGTACACACTACATACATTTAGCTGTATCATCGTGGTGCCTTTATTCGTCATTATGTCTGAAAACAGAAATAGTAAAGGAGAAGTTAACGAAGTAATTGGCTCTTGTTTCAGGTGAGAGCGGGGCAGGCAAGACAGAAGCATCCAAGATCATTATGCGATACATTGCTGCAGTCACAAATGTAAGCGGACAGAAGGAAGTAGAAAGGTAAGGAGAAATGATCACATGTATGTCACATGACCACAGACCCGTGAAGATCCAGGGTAGAATAGGTCTTCAGCAACCCATGCTTGCCGTAAAAGGAGACTGCTTGTTGTAAGAGGCGACCAACGGGATTGGGTGGTCAGGCTCGCTGACTTGGTTGATGCATGTCATCATATCCCAATTGCGTAGATGGATGCTCATGATGTCAATCACTGGATTGTCTGGTCCAGACTTGATTATTTTCAGACCGCCACAATATAGCTGGAATATTGCTGAGTGCAGCGTTAAACAACATAAGTCAAGTACTGTTAGATTCACTCACTCACTCTTGAACTCATTCATGAACTTAGCCTTGCTCCAAGGCTGTACTGAATGAGAAGTACATTGGTCTATTGTAATTATATCCTTATGATAGGCAAGTCTGGATGAGCGGACAGTACTAAGGATGCCAGTCTGTTATAGGGACAACTTTTTCTTATTATTTATATAATCTAGGAATTATGATTTAAACTAATAAATTGCCTTAGAGACTTGTACAAGTCTATTATGAACTCGCCACCCATGAACTCATCACTCATGAACTCGCCACCCATGAACTCGCCACCCATGAACTCGCCTATCATGAACTCGCCACTCATGAAATCAGCACCCATGAACTTGCCCTCATGAACTCCTCGCTCATGGACTTGCCACCCATGAACTCACCACTCATGAACTCGCCACTCATGAACTCGCCACTCATGAACTCGCCACTCATGAACCTGCCACTCATGAACTCGCCACTCATGAACTCACCACCCATGAACTCGCCTATCATGAACTCGCCACTCATGAAATCACCACCCATGAACTTGCCCTCATGAACTCCTCGCTCATGGACTTGCCACCCATGAACTCACCACTCATGAACTCGCCACTCATGAACTCGCCACTCATGAACCTGCCACTCATGAACTCACCACGGATGAACTCACCACCCATGAAATCACCACTCTTGAACTCACCACCCATGAACTCACCACCCATGAACTCACCACTCATGAACTCGCCACCCATGAACTCGCCACCCTCCCATGAACTCGTCACTCATGAACTCACCATTCATGAACTCACCACTCAGGAACCATCACTCAGGAACTCACCACTGAGGAACTCACCACCTATGAACTCACCACCCATGAACTCGTCACTCAGGAACTCGTCACTCAGGAACTCGCCACTCAGGAACTCACCACTCAGGAACTCACCAACCATGAACTCGCCACTCATGAACGTGCCTATGAACTCACTTGCAAACTCATGAAATAATTTCAAGAACTCATAAACTGTGATTTAACAAACACAAACATAAGGCCGGTCATCTCAGTGTTTGTTATCCAGCAAGGCAGATGGTGCTTTTGAATGGTGGGAAAATGACTTGATGCCTGGAACAGCAGTAATTTGAATTCAAACTCCATTACACAAACCTTGAGGAATGCTGAAACTGCAAGATGTTTTCTGCTGGAAATGTTAAGTGTATGTTTGTTTTTAATTAGTCTTGTGCTCATTTGATATTATTTTATCGTCACTTCAGCAGGTTATCATTATGAAATCATGTTTCAGGGTAAAGGATGTCCTCATCAAGTCCAACAATATTCTGGAAGCATTTGGAAATGCCAAGACCAATAGGAATGATAACTCAAGTCGCTTCGGTAAATACATGGACATCAACTTTGACTTCAAGGGGGATCCGGTCGGAGGTCACATTAACAACTACTTGCTGGAAAAGGTAAGTGTTTCTACCAACCACAAAATTTTCAATGATATTTCCAAATTTCAATTGATCTGTAACGTATTTGTTGGTGTTTAGTCATTGGATAACTGTTCCACTGATGCAGTGCTAAACAACAACAAACAAACAAACAAACATTATTTCAGGGGTTTAGAATACATAACGTTCTTCCATCACCCAAGTGTACATATGGCTGATATTTGGTCTAGTCGCTATAAATAATGAATTAAATCTCGGCCTGGTTCAAAGAAAGTGGGAGTCTAGCAGTTGCTCTGACTATTGAGGGTTCATGTTTTTCACTTGACGAGAGGTTGAGAGTGGCCATTGCATACCGGCTCAACACATGGCTTCAATACCAGGCAATGCTAGGGTTTGCAAAACTGATGAAAATGTTCATTAACAGGCTATATATGGACGTCTGCATATATCAGTGGTATGTACAGCATTCCTGTTTACTGGAAATTACCATTTTTTTACCGGTAAGATTAGGCTTGGACCAGTAATTCATGTGACTGCCAGTCCCTATGGACATGATGGACCGGCAAATAAAGAACCTTATAATTTGTTGTTGTTGAACAAAACATCGGTGATATTCATATGAGTACATTTTTTTAACAAAGTCAGATCGTCTGTTCCATTAGGGCTTCCCCATGTCTATTTCTAGGTTAAATATCCATTTGTAGCGAGTTCGTCTCTAAATATTTAAAAAAAGATAGAAATTTGGGACTGAAATTTGTGTAAATGATGTATAGATCTAACTTAGTTACTTCAGAGCTGACATCTTTGCACTGAACATGATGTTGAAAGAATTAAAACCAAATAATTTTCATATGTTTTTTTATTTGTTGAAAGTTGGAACTGGCATAAATTAGGGGGGACTGGTAATTTTTAGAGTTGCCAGTCCATAAGTACTGGCAGTTTCAAAAGCCAGCGGAAACACTGATGTATTGACAGGTGATGGAGGAATGTTATGTGTAAAACCATTGAAGTATTGATGACTGATGACATAGGAAAAGATGTGTTTTGAAATGAGTAAGTTTTTATTTAGGCAATCATTATCACAGTATACTAGGGGCGGTCGGGTAGCCTCGTGGTTAAAGCGTTCGCTTGTCACGCCGAATATCCGGGTTCGATTCACGACATGGGTACAATGTGTGAAGCCCATTTCTGGTGTCCCCTGCCATGATATGGCTGGAATATTGCTAAAAGCGGCGTAAAACCATACTCACTCACTCACAGTGTACTAAGACATGAACACTTTGTGATCTCTACCAACAATACGGACAGCCTCCATGGTCTAGTGGATAGAGCATCTGCCTGGAGACGTTAAGAGATGGTACTTGTTGTTACCCTGCCTGGCATTCAGCACTAAGGGGGTAAAAAAAACAACACTGGTTGGGTCAGAGTCGGAGTGTACTGTGTCTGAGCGGGGTCTTCATGTAAAACTGAGCCATGGTATCTCGGTAGGCTACAAAACTGGCATTAGTCCAGACTAGTACAAGCAGAAACACACACACACGCACACACGCATGCACTCGCTTTATAATTGCAATAATCTTGAACGCGACATTAAGCCCCCTTCACCCCACCTCTACCAAAAGTCTACAAAACTATCAAGAAAGTCCACAATGAGGATATTCAGAGAAGTTGTCGTTAGGCAACATGTACAATGCATGGTATTATTGACCTTCATGACAGTGCCTGTAATTGTGTTCCAGAGTCGGGTTGTGTACCAGCAGGATGGCGAGCGGAACTTCCACTCCTTCTATCAGGTGAGTACTTGTTTCCCCCTGTGGGGATGCAGGTTAGAATAGGTCCCAATCAATCTATGCTGGTCATATGAAGCGACTAAATGGATGGAGAGATAAGATGCGGTAACTTGTTTGGTAGCATCATGGCCTCCAAGAAGGCATGGCGGTTGTTCACAATATCACTGGAATGTCTAGCCCAGACTCGATAATTTTACAGGCTGCCGTCATGTGGCTGGAATATTGCTGAGTGCGGTGTTAAACAACAAACAAACAAACTTTGCATAAAACAACTTTTTGTTCACTCTTTTTATGAATTATTTAGACCTGTTTCATTGTTCTATGTAAAAGAAGAAAAAGGCTAAAGAACTAATGTACATAAATGAACTCAGTTACTACTGGATTGAAAAGCATGCACACTTTCATGTGGTATTGTCTGTATCCTACAGCTTCTGTCGGGAGCACAAGATGACCGGCTGAGCAAGTTGAAGCTGACCAGAGACTCCACACAGTATCATTACGTGAGACAGGGAGGGAGTGCCAAGGTAAGCCCTACTCCACACAGTGTCATTACATGAGACGGGAAGGGAGTGCCAAGGTAAGCCCTACTCCACACAGTGTCATTACATGAGACAGGGAGGGAGTGCCAAGGTAAGCCCTACTCCACACAGTGTCATTACGTGAGACAGGGAGGGAGTGCCAAGGTAAGCCCTACTCCACACAGTGTCATTACGTGAGACAGGGAGGGAGTGCCAAGGTAAGCCCTACTCCACACAGTGTCATTACGTGAGACAGGGAGGGAGTGCCAAGGTAAGCCTTTCATCACACAGTGTCATTACGTGAGACAGGGAGGGAGTGCCAAGGTAAGCCTTACTCCACACAGTGTCATTACGTGAGACAGGGAGGGAGTGCCAAGGTAAGCCTTACTCCACACAGTGTCATTACGTGAGACAGGGAGGGAGTGCCAAGGTAAGCCTTTCATCACACAGTGTCATTACGTGAGACAGGGAGGGAGTGCCAAGGTAAGCCCTACTCCACACAGTATCATTACGTGAGACAGGGAGGGAGTGCCAAGGTAAGCCCTACTCCACACAGTGTCATTACGTGAGACAGGGAGGGAGTGCCAAGATAAGCTCTACTCCACACAGTGTCATTACGTGAGACAGGGAGGGAGTGCCAAGGTAAGCCCTACTCCACACAGTGTCATTACGTGAGACAGGAGGGAGTGCCAAGATAAGCCTTACTCCACACAGTGTCATTAGGTGAGACAGGGAGGGAGTGCCAAGGTAAGCTCTACTCCACACAGTGTCATTACGTGAGACAGGGGGGGAGTGCCAAGGTAAGCCCTACTCCACACAGTGTCATTACGTGAGACAGGGATGGAGTGCCAAGGTAAGCCCTACTCCACACAGTGTCCTTACGTGAGACAGGGAGGGAGTGCCAAGGTAAGCCAGACTCCACACAGTGTCCTTACGTGAGACAGGGAGGGAGCGCCAAGGTAAGCCCTACTCCACACAGTGTCATTACGTGAGACAGGGAGGGAGTGCCAAGGTAAGCCCTACTCCACACAGTGTCATTACGTGAGTCAGGGAGGGAGTGCCAAGGTAAGCCCTACTCCACACAGTGTCATTACGTGAGACAGGGATGGAGTGCCAAGGTAAGCCCTACTCCACACAGTGTCCTTACGTGAGACAGGGAGGGAGTGCCAAGGTAAGCCAGACTCCACACAGTGTCCTTACGTGAGACAGGGAGGGAGTGCCAAGGTAAGCCCTACTCCACACAGTGTCATTACGTGAGACAGGGAGGGAGTGCCAAGGTAAGCCCTACTCCACACAGTGTCATTACGTGAGTCAGGGAGGGAGTGCCAAGGTAAGCCCTACTCCACACAGTGTCATTACGTGAGACAGGGAGGGAGTGCCAAGGTAAGCCCTACTCCACACAGTGTCATTACGTGAGACAGGGAGGGAGTGCCAAGGTAAGCCCTATCCCACGCAGTGTCATTACGTGAGACAGGGAGGGAGTGCCAAGGTAAGCCCTACTCCACACAGTGTCATTACGTGAGATTGGGAGGGAGTGCCAAGGTAAGCTCTACTCCACACAGTATCATTACGTGAGACAGGGAGGGAGTGCCAAGGTAAGCCTTACTCCACACAGTGTCATTACATGAGACAGGGAGGGAGTGCCAAGGTAAGCCAGACTCCACACAGTGGATTGTCGTAGCGATAAGATCGCTTTGTGCATGTGGGCCCTGGTTACTTGTTTGTTCCGATGAATTGTTGCTCATAATATCACTCACTGGTTTGCCAGATCCAGACTCAAACATTTATAGGCAGCCATAGCTGGCATATTGCTGGGTGCACAATTAAACAACAAACAAGGTTACCCCAGTTTACTAGCCTTTTGAAATTAATGTGCCTGATTTCTGTCCCAGGTTGATTCCATCAATGATCGGCGTGACTTCAAGTCTGTGATGGATGCCATGAAAGCCACTGGGTTCGCCTTCATGCATGTGGAGACGTTATGGAGCATCGTTGCAGCTGTCATACACCTGGTGAGTACAAAAGGGCGTGGCCTTGTGTCGTCAAGGTGACACAGTCAAACCTCATCGGTCAGGCCCCGATTTCCCGAAACAAACCAAGTGAAAAAACTTCCAGTCTGAGTCTGAGTTTCTGTGTAGATCCTAACACCTTTATCAAGCAAGTGATGATAACTTGCTTGATAAAGGTGTTAGGATCTACACAGAAACGTCGCACTAATTGTAATAAAGAAGTTGTTCATCCATAGAACTCGTCTTACTTCATCACACCAACTTCTAAATGCCACTGAAAGAAGTGATTCGAGATTGTTTGCAAAAGTTTGTGTTTTGACTAAAAACTTAACTTTGTTTTGTGAAATCGGGGCCTGGACTCTGTCATACTGGAAACCCAACCCCTGGACTGTCATTGATGGTAACATCTCTGTAAGGGGTGTCACGATAAATCGAAATATCGATATATTTGCTATTGGTAAGCACTTAAAGTCAATAAATTGATTGTTAAATCAGTTTCTGATCAATAGTATGGATTTCAGTTAGGAATACCAATACTTTCGATTGTATTTACCATATCAATAAAATACACGCAATGCTGTTCAAATTTGTGTTTCTTTTGATCATGAGTGGTAGTAATTTACTCATGGTAATGTGGAAGTTTCTTTTTCTTAAATTATTAGGGTAAAGAAAAAACAAATCAGTCATATCTCAAATTTTACTTTTTATTTGTTATGGTTATAACATTCAAAGGAAACTTCAGTTTGAAGGTTTAATTCAACTCTAAAATCCATCTAAAATGATACACTGAAAACTATCGATATTTATTGCAATAAATTGCTTGCAATATCAATAGTTATCGCAATAGTTTCTTTCAATATCAATGGTTATTGCAATAGTGATTTCCTGACCAATAGTCACCCCTACATCTCCTTACTGTTAAAGGGGGCATGGGTGGCCAAGTCGTCTAAGGCGCCGCGATTCGCTGTGCAGAGTTGCGTCCCTTGTACACGCCAGAAACCTATGATTGTGGGTTCGAATCCCGGTTCGCCCCGATTATGTTTCTAGGTTTGTCAGCACCATACCCATGCTCGTGGGTTTCACGAAGTGGTAAACGTCTGAGACCTGCATCACTTGGGGCTTTCCTCCCACATTAAGCTGACACGCCGTGATATAACTGGAATACTGTTAAAAGCGGCGTTAAACCCAACTCACTCACTCACTCACCTTATTTTTAAAGGTTGACCATGCTCCACCAACTGTCCACAAATCAGGTGAAGTTAAGCAACAACGGTCGTGGAGAGCACGGCAGTTTGACCCCTGAGAGTTTCTTGGGCTTTGACCTTGCCCCATCCTGAAGCACATGTGGTGCCTACTTAGGCAAGAGACTTTTTTCGAAACATGCCGCTGCTCAACCAGCAGTGACTGGGTACCCGGTAGAAAGAGATGGTCATTTGACTGCTAACCATCTAGCGCCTCACAGGCAGCTGGGTTGTATACTCCCCAGGGAGATGAGAATGAAAATCTAGTGTGCACTGATCCATTGACTGGGGTTATAATGTAGTGCTTTCAGCATGCTTTTGGATGTGGATTTGGTGCATTATAATTTATATGCACGTTATTTTTACCTAGTGGCATTTTCGGTCTGTATCTAGAAGTTGTAAAAAAAGTTGACTGTACAAATTGTGTCATTGCTGTACGCTGCTTGCAGGGCAATGTGGAGTTTGGTGTGGCAGAGGAGGAAGACATCGCGTGTGTAGGGAACCAGTCAGTCAGCAACATCATCGCCGGGCTGCTGGGGGTGCGGCCGGACCAACTTGAGAAGGCGCTGTGCTCGCGTACCATCGCTGCTGGAGGCAACGTTGTGGAAAAGGGACTCACGAAGAAGGACGCCTACTTTGCCAGGGATGCCTTTGCTAAGGTTGGGAACGTTGTGATGCAATGCACCATAAATTAACTGTAAAGTCTTTTTATGGCTGTGACATGATGATATGCCTATGAACATGGGCTCAATCTCATTAAAATCAGATCTTAGTTCTTGCTATCGCTAAACAAATATCTTAGGACATCCCATGTCGCTTGCCAGATCATGAAAGTGACAGTCGGAATGTGTTTTCTAATCATGCAACCACGATATATTTAACAGGGGATATTCCGAACGACAGTTACGGGTTTTATGATTATATCCATACAATCTAGGCCATCTGTAAGCCATTCCAGAATGTTCTTCTTATCAGTTTTAAATTTTTTAATCGAGAATACGTCAAAATATATTTCGAAGCGTAGTCGCCAGTTTGAAACTAGTGTCGTAAAGCTCGATCAAGCTGCTTTCTGATTGGCCAATGTCAATTTCTTGTCAGTCATTTCATTGGTCGGTCAAAATTCGCGAAAGGTCGTTCTGACGTGACCCGTAATGGGATGTCCTCAGATCTTTATTTAGCGGTAGCGAAGACTAAGGTCTGATTTTAATGAGATTGACATGGGCTGAAAAAACCCATAAACTTTGCAATGACTTGGATAACAACGGAAGTGAAAGTGAAAGAATTTTACTGGCGTTGAAAGTGGAAAGTGTGGTAGGAAAAGCATACGTAAGCTCGGTTTTAGATTGAAAATGATTTAATATTGGTGAGGGAAGGGGAAGGGAGCTTAGGAGAGGGAAATATGAGGTGGAAGATGGAATATAACCAGAGATGAAGAAGTTAGAGAAAATAAATTAACATGTTAATGCAGCCCATAAGAACAATTATTTTTTGTTAGATTTAAATGGCTGCAACAGGTTTATTGTTTTATCTATCAAAGCCTAGCGACGAAAGATAATATATTGGTAACAATTTATATATATAGTGATTCTGATTCCACACAAAAAAAAAAAAATGTGGCGCCAAATGGAAGAATATTGACCATGTTTACAAAAAAAAAAGAAAATGAAATTCGGACACATTTTGATAGGGTGTGCACTTGATGTGAGAGTGAGTGAGTGAGTATGGTTTTACGCCGCTTTTAGCAATATTCCAGCAATATCACGGCGGGGGACACCAGAAATGGGCGTCACACATTGTACCCATGTCAGGAATCGAACCCAGCTTTTCGGCGTGACGAGCAAACGCTTTAACCACTAGGCTACCCGACCGCCCCCTTGATGTGAGAGGGACATTGGGTGACATGTGACCCGTGAAGATCGGGGATGGAATTAGCCTTCAGCAACCCATGCTTGCCGTAAAGGGTGACTATGCTTGTCGTAAGAGGCGACTAACAAGATCGGGTGGTCAGGATTCTAAATACATGTGTCATCATATTCCAATAGTGTGGATCGATGCTCATGACATCAATCACTGGATTGTCTGGTCCTGACTATTATTTACAGACTGCCATCATATAGCTGGAATATTGCTGAGTGTGGCGTTAAACAACAAACAAACAGCCACGTGCCTAACTGTCTGTGTCATGTCTGCAGGCAATCTATGACCGTATGTTCAGCTGGATAGTGGGGCGCATCAATGAGGCAATTGACCCCAAGGCCAGCGGCGTCCGATACACCAGCAAGGGTACCGTCATCGGAGTCCTCGACATCTATGGCTTTGAGATCTTTGACAACAACAGGTATACCTAATGAATAAGTAAATCTTTTGTTTGGGTTATATCATAGTATCAAATTGTATATTTGAAATTAGGTATATGTCCAATTTAAATGGTATCCATCAAAGATGAAGTCATCATTATTGAAGCTGAGAGTGAAAAGTGCAGCGTGGATGTGCATTATACTGACTCCATGCCAACCAGTCCTTGTTTAAGCCCTGTAATACTGAGCAGCAGGCAGGATAACAACAAGTACCATCTTTTGGTATGATGCGGCCAGGGATCGAATCACAAATGTTCTGCTCTCCAGGCAGATGCTCTATCCACTAGACCACAGAGGCAGTGGCTGTCTATCATTCAAAATAGTTACTTAATTGATGGTACTTAGCATTCTGTAAAATTAACTACCGTATTTCCTCTATTAGACACCTGGGCTTCTATTTATTTCGGACAAGCCTTTTTTGACCTGGCGTCAATTAGAGGCCCGGCTTTTATTAATACCCCCATTTCACTATGACCATGAATTTAGGTCCCAAAAAGAGATAATTAATTGTATCAATTGATCGACCCGGCTTCTAGTTTTTGCACTGAACAATTGACCCGGCTTCTATTAGAGGCCCGGCGTCTAATAGAGGAAATACGGTAGTACATTCAACTGGAGCAAAGAAATGAAAATATATCAGCTTCAGTAGACACTGAAGTCAGATCCATTTTATCTCAAGTAGTGTTCATATGTCAGAGACCAATGAAGATCCGTGGTAGAATAGGTCTTCAGCAACCCATGCTTGCTGTAAAAGGCGACTATGCTTGTCGTAAGAGGCAACTACGGGATCGGGTGGTCAGGCTTGCTGACTTGGTTGATTCATATCTTCGCATCCCAATTGCGTGGATTGATGTTCATGATGTCAATCACTGGATTGTTTGGTCCAAACTTGATTATTTACAGACTGCTGTCATAGCTGTAATATTGCTAAGTGCGGTGTTAAACAACAAACAAACAAATCATATATCATTCTTTTATGGAATTGAAAAAAACTCAACATCGTTTCGAAAGATGCAAAAGGAAAGGATATTTAGTAATTTAGCAAATGCCTCTATGATGACTTCTTATAAAGTTGAAAAAGTTACGTAATGATTGTGTAATGTGAAATGATTGTGTGATGTGATGTGAACTGATTGTGTGATGTGAACTGATTGTGTGATGTGATGTGAAATGGTTGTGTGATGTGATGTGAAATGATATTGTTTGTGGTTCAGCTTTGAGCAGTTCTGCATCAACTACTGCAACGAGAAACTCCAGCAGCTGTTCATAGAGTTGGTGCTGAAGCAGGAACAGGAAGAGTACATGCGGGAGGGCATCGAGTGGCAGCATGTGAGTTGTCTCCCCTGCTCTGGCGGATTTGATCAATGTATTTTGTGACGGAAATGTGTGTCAATTATTCCCACAGTGTTCACATCCCCAACTACCCAGTGGAGTCTATCTCCATTCTATAGATAGATGCTCTTGACCCTATCACTACAATACTTTTCTCGTGACATCGCCGTCAGTATCTCTCTATTCACATGTGAGTTGTCTCCCCTGCTCTGGCAGATTTGATCAATGTATTTTGTGACGGAAATGTGTGTCAGTTATTCCCACAGTGTTCACATCCCCAACTACCCAGTGCATTCTATCTCCATTCTATAGATAGATGCTCTTGACCCTATCACTACAATACTTTTCTCGTGACATATCAGTATCTTTCTATTCACTAGGGACACGGGTGGCCCAGAAGTCACCCGGTAGTCGCGGTAATTGTTGTGCCCCTTTGGCAGACCAGGAACCTATGATCATGTGTTATAATCATGATAATCCCAGATCCACTCTGGTCATGTTGCTTGGTTTGTCAGACCCATTCCTGTGGGGTTCACCAAAGTGGTAAGACCCATAAAGACCCGGGGTAGAATAGGTCTCCAGCAACCCATGCTTGCTGTGAAGAGGACTATGCTTGTCGTAAGGGGCGACTTACAGGATCTGGTGGTCAGGCTCGTTGACTTGGTTGATGCATGTCATCCTATCCCATATCCCATTGCATGGATCAATATTCATGATTTCAATCACTGCATTGTCTGGCCCAGACTTGATTATTTACACTTGATTATTTACACAAGCGACCATTACAAGAATCTGTAGAAATGTAGTCTCATATATATTTTAGTGTAGGTCTAGGGTAGGGAATGCCATTCTGGTCAATTGGGAAAACGTTTGCAACTTATTTACTATTTCCCAGTTTGTTTGTTTAATCAGGATAGTTTGAGAATGCAGACCAACAGCAACGCACCCAACTGTTGCCTTACATTCTCACTATACTAATTATATGATAGCTGAAATGAAATAGAAGTTAATATTGACAAACAAATAACTGAGCTGAGGAAAGAGTATTCAGATTAACGATAGTCATCACTTGTTTGTTAACATGACAGCCAGTCAGAGTTCAACTCCATGCATAGTTGGGGGGCATGATGGCCCAGTTGTCTAAGGCGCCACAATTCGCTGTGCAGAGTTGTGTCCCTTTGGCACGCCAGAAACCTATCATTGTGGGTTTGAATCCCAGTTCACCCCAATTATGTTTCTAGGTTTGTCAGCACCATACCCATGCTCGTGGGTTTCACCGAAGTGGTAAACGTCTAAGACCTGCATCACTTTGTGCTTTCCTCCCACATTAAGTTGACACGCCGTGATATAACTGGAATACTGTTAAAAGCGGCGTCAACCCTAACTCATTCACTCACCATTCATAGTTGTGGCTGCCTAGCACAGTGGGGGAGCTGTGACTGGTGGCAGCAACAGTGTAGAGAGCTCTGCGACCAGGCTAACGCTGTGTGGAGGGTGCCTTCCAAAGGGCTTGAATATTGTGAGTGAAATTGTGTATGCACCCTTACAGGTGGACTACTTCAACAACAAGGTGATCTGTGACCTGGTGGAACAGCCCCACAAGGGGGTCCTGGCCATCCTGGACGAGGCCTGTCTCAGCGTGGGCAAGGTCACGGACAAAGTAAGTATGGTACCGCCGACACATGCCCTGTAGAGACCTTCAGTAGTTGATAGGAGTATTCTGATTGTCCAGGGGGGCACGGGTGGCCCGGTCGTCTGAGGCGCCGCGATTCGCTGTGCAGAGTTGCGTCCTTTGGGCACGCCAGAAACCTATGATTGTGGGTTCGAATCCCGGTTCACCCCGATTATATTTCTAGGTTTGTCAGCACCATACCCGTGCTGGTGGGTTTCATCGAAGTGGTACACGTCTGAGACCTGCATCACTTCGGGCTTTACTCCCACATTAAGCTGACACGCCGTGATATAACTGGAATACTGTTAAAGTGGCGTTAAACCCAACTCACTCACTCACTCTGAGTGTCCAGGGTGGGACTGAGTGAGACACAGTATTTCATGGTATCATGGATCTGAAACATGTTCAGTTCCTTGAAATGTACATTCTACCCTGAATTTGGAGTTTACTCGATTCTGATTGGTCAATCGTAGGCTATTAAATCACAATAAACCCCCTCTGATTGAGACAGCTGGTTTGACGGGCGCATCACCGCAGAAGGTAATATTCATGGAATAGTACTTTTTTCAGTCATTGTCGGTAGGCATATTTAAATAATTATATCTACAATTACAGGTTACAAAATGCACAGATGCGGTTACTACAATATTCAAAGAATGTGTGGCAATACGTTTCGTGCAGAAAACACGACAGAAATCTACAAAAGGAATGCATTTACGTTTTGGAGACAACAGAGTGCTTAGAATTTTGGCGCTTTTCTATATACGGCTGTGACATCATATCTTTTGCGTCACAGTGAGCGATATGACGTCATAATGGTGACGTGCGATGTCGAGCGAAAACCTTGCAAAGCTTGCTTTGTTTTCTTTAGGGATGCCCACCTCATGTTAGCTTACCAAGTTGCCGTGCTGATATGCTTTCAATGCCTGTCATATGTTCGAGTGAAGTATTACCATGTAAACAAACTTGCTTGAGTATATTTTGTTCGGTGATTCCGTAATTCAGATCGATAACCAACTCAAAACACTGGATTCAACTCATGCCGCTTCACTCAGTATATTTGCTAACACCAAAGAGTTTGCGTTTTATTCAGTCATGGTAGAATGGAGATAAACATACAGTGTTTTCAATGTAGAGCTAGGTTACCTGTAGATTTAACCGCGCCAATTTTAACATTTGAAACCTCACGCTGCGCGTTCGGTTCCAAATTCAATTTAGCGCAGTCACATCTTCAGGTAACCAAGCCCTACTTTGGAAACACAGTACGTTTATCTCCTAAATGTATGATGAAGTACGTGTAACTAACTGGGGATTCCATCAACCATCCATACATTTGAGGTATATGACATACTTTTTGAGATGTTCCATTTTAAGTAAAACACATGTACATGTATCCGTTAAGGGACCAGTGATTTAATTTTCGGAGATAAACCTACTGTGTTTTGAAATTTCATGTGGTCCCACTGTAGAGTTTTTTTAAATTTGGAACTGAGTGAGATGGACTTAGTCAAATTTCAAAACACAGTGGGTTTATCTCCATTCTACCATGACGGCAACAACACTGAATACAGTGATCTCTTGCAACGTGTAACAACATAGGGTACAAAGGTCCGCAATCGTAGAACATTCCGAAAAATGGTCACAGGTATTTTTTATGTAACAAATATTACCAAAGTTCAAAATTAAGATATCCATAGAGTGGTTAGGAATGTAATGATATTTCAGTTCCCACTTGAAGACATTTCAGGCTAGATTTTCAACTCATCCACCATGCACGTGTCAGAAGCAAGCACTTTATTCCCTCCACCCCTGTGTTGCAGATGTTCCTGCAGGCCATGTCCCAGAAGCTGAACCACCATGACAGGTTCACCTGCAGATCGGTAAGTCATCAGCCTTCACTTACTGGACAGATAAGATTTACAGCTTAGACATAGATGATTCACTGCTTAGACAGAGATGATTCACTCCTAAGACATAGACGATTCACTGCTTAGTCAGAGACGATTCACAGCTTAGGCAGAGACGATTCACTGCTTAGACAGAGACAATTCACTGCTTAGATGGAGATGATTCACTGCTTAGACATAGACAATTCACTGCTTAGACAGAGATGATTCACTGCTTAGACATAGACAATTCACAGCTTAGGCAGAGACGATTCACTGCTTAGACAGAGACAATTCACTGCTTAGACGGGGATGATTCACTGCTTAGACATAGACGATTCACTGCTTAGACAGATGATTCACTGCTTAGACATAGACAATTCACTGCTTAGACGGAGATGATTCACTGCTTAGACATAGACAATTCACTGCTTAGACGGAGATGATTCACTGCTTAGACGGGGATGATTCACTGCTTAGACATAGACGATTCACTGCTTAGACAGAGATGATTCACTGCTTAGACAGAGATGATTCACTGCTTAGACGGAGATGATTCACTGCTTAGACGGAGATGATTCACTGCTTAGACAGGGATGATTCACTGCTTAGACAGATGATTCACTGCTTAGACATAGATGATTCACTGCTTAGACAGAGATGATTCACTGCTTAGATGGAGATGATTCACTGCTTAGACGGAGATGATTCACTGCTTAGACAGAGATGATTCACTGCTTAGACAGAAGATTCACTGCTAAGACACAAGATTCACTGCTAAGACAGGAGATTCACTGCTTAGACAGAGATAATTCACTTCTTAGACAGAGACAATTCACTGCTTAGACATAGACGATTCACTGCTTAGACGGAGATGATTCACTGCTTAGACAGAGATGATTCACTGCTTAGACAGAAGATTCACTGCTAAGACACAAGATTCACTGCTAAGACAGGAGATTCACAGCTTAGACAGAGATGATTCACTGCTTAGACAGAAAATTCACTGCTAAGACAGGAGATTCACTGCTTAGACAGGAGATTCACTGCTTAGACATAGACGATTCACTGCTTGGACGGAGATGATTCACTGCTTAGACAGAGACGATTCACTGCTTAGACTCAGACCATTCACTGCTTAGACAGAGATGATTCACTGCTTAGACAGACCATTCACTGCTTAGACTCAGACCATTCACTGCTTAGACAGAGATGATTCACTGCTAAGACAGAAGATTCACTGCTTAGAAATAGACGATTCACTGCTTAGACAGAGATGATTCACTGCTAAGACAGAAGATTCACTGCTAAGACATAGACGATTCACTGCTTAGACAGAGACGTTTCAATGCTTAGACAGAGATGATTCACTGCTTAGACATAGATGATTCACTTCTTAGACCTAGATGATTCACTGCTTGGTCATAGATGATTCACTGCTTAGACAGAGACGATTCACTGCTCAGACAGAGATGATTCATTGCTTAGACATAGATGATCACTGCTTAGACATAGATGATTCACTGCTTAGACAGAGACGATTCACAGCTTAGACAGAGACGATTTACTGCTTAGACAGAGACAATTCTCTGCTTAGACATAGATGATTCACTGCTTAGACATAGATGATTCACTGCTTAGACATAGATGATTCACTGCTTAGACAGACGATTCTCTGCTTAGGCATAGATGATTCACTGCTTAGACAGAGATGATTCACTGCTTAGACATAGATGATTCACTGCTTAGACATAGACGATTTACTGCTTAGACATAGATGATTCACTGCTAGGACAGAAGATTCACTGCTTAGACAGAGATGATTCACAGCTTAGACATAGATGATTCACAGCTTAGACAGAGATGAGTCACTGCTTAGACACAATTGATTTACAGCTTAGACAGAGATGATTCACAGCTTAGACAGAGATGATTCACTGCGTAGTCAGAGATGATTCACTGCTTATGCCCCCCTTTCATTACGACCACGAATATCCCAAATCACCCCGAAATTTGCCAATAATGCAAACTTTTGTTGCTAATCGGATTGAAAAATATGAAGAACGCCAGGAATGGGTTAAGAAACATGTACGAATTACAAGATTCATGTACGGATCATGTACGAATTGTAAGAATCACCTACGGCTAAGTTACGAATATGCCAAATGTCGTTCTTACTTAATTCTTACATGATGCGTAGTTGACTTGGGACATTCGTGGCTGTTTCGGGATGTTTTCAGGGCGGAGGACAAGAAATTTTGGGAGCCTCGAATCGCTAAGAATAGCCAAGAATGCAAAAGAATCGATTACGAAGCTGTTACGGAACATAAGAATAAATTACGAATGGATTACGATACAGCCACGAAATTGCAATTTGGGGACCCTTCCACGAAAGTTTTTGACAGACAAAAACTTTCTCACCGATTCGATGAACTCCCGTGAAGTATACGATTGTTTGGGAATCTAATAAGATTCACTTAAGAACTTCAAGAAATGATTGAGATTTATCTACGAACATAAAAAAATTCCTATTCGGGGTGATTCGGGATATTCGTGGTCGTAGTGAAATGGGGGCATTAGATATAGACCATTCACTGGTTAGACAGAGATGATTTACTGCTTAGACAGAGATGATTCACGGTTTTGACAAAGACAATCCATGGGGATGAATACTGGAACTCATCCTGTTGCTAAATGTGTGTTCATGGTAATGGAGCCAGCAACGTTTCTGTCTGTAAAAGGGGGCACAGGTGGCCCAGTCGTCTAAGGCGCTGCGATTCGCTGTGCAGAGTTGCGTCCCTTGGACACGACAGAAATCTATGATTGTGGGTTCGAATGTTTCTAGGTTTGTCAGCACCATACCCATGCTCGTGGGTTTCACCGAAGTGGTAAACATCTGAGACCGGCATCACTTGGGGCTTTCCTCCCACATTAAGCTGACACACCATGATATCACTGGAATACTTTTAAAAGCGGCATTAGACCCAACTCACTCACTCACTCACTCACTCACTCACTCACTCACTCACTCACTCACTCACTCACTCACTCACTCACTCACTCACTCACTCACTCACTCACTCACTCACTCTGTCTGTAAAAATGTAGTTGCTTTGTTGTACAACTTTGAAGATAAGAGACATCAATAGTTATCATCAATGCATCCCTACATAAATATGGCAAATCATTTGCCATAATTTACTTTTCCACTTTCTCATCTGAGATACTTTTTGTATGAAGAGGAATATGAGTATCCATTCAGAATCTGTTCAGAACATTTTACTTCATAAGAATCAGAACTCTCTCCATAAACTTCTTATATTTCCCTTGGTGGTTGGGTAGCCTAGTGGTTAAAGCGTTTGCTTGTCACGCCGAAGACCCGGGTTTGATTCCCGACATGGGTACAATGTGTGAAGCCCATTTCTGGTGTCCCCGCCTTGATATTGCTGGAATATTGCTAAAAGCAGCGTAAAACCATACTCACTCACTCACTCACATCTTTCCCAGCACTCAACTGAACCTTTGAAATAATGTACAATTATGCCCTACATTCTACATTACTGGATACTACAACTGCTCTCTATGCGCACTAATTTGATGTACAGAGTTGCCTCCCTTACGCATGCCAGGATCCTGATTGTGAGTCAGAATCAATCCCATAGTCACCCTTATGAGTCTTGTGGGCTTCATCCCCGTCGTCGTATGTGTCACCCGTGGTAAACTTCTAAAACATGCCTTCCTCCCATCTGACACTCTAGTATAACTGGAATACTGTTTAAAGTCGATACCCCACGTGGGTACAATGTGTGAAGCCCATGTCTGGTGTCCCCTGCCGTGATATTGCTGGAATATTTCTAAAATTGACATTTAACCACTAACGCACTCACTACACATATTTGTTCAGCTTGTGCCGTCTGACAAGACCCTGGACCATGACAAGGACTTCCGTATTAAGCATTACGCGGGCGATGTCACCTACTCCGTGGAGGGCTTCATCGACAAGAACAGGGACACTCTCTTCCAGGACTGCAAGAGACTTCTGTTCAACAGGTGGGATTCTTATAAATGGTTCAGTTTTGTGAGAAGCTTTCATGAACTTTTATGTGCAAATTAAATGGCATTTATTATCTGTTTTCTTTCAGGATGTATATATTGTTAAATATGGTAAATTGATGTGGAATTCATAGCAGATTGTAATTGTAAAGTTAAATTTTAGCCATGTAAATACATTATTGTTATGGTGACAATGATGTCATGTACCTGATTGTTACATAAACAATGTCATGACTGTTACAGTGACAATGTCATGTTGTGATTGTTACAGTGACAATGTCATGACTGTTACAGTGACAATGTCATGTTTTATTGTTTCAGTGACAATGTCATGTTGTGATTGTTACAGTGACAATGTCATGTTTTGTTGATTCAGTGACAATGTCATGTTGTGATTGTTACAGTGACAATGTCATGTTTTGTTGATTCAGTGACAATGTCGTGTACTTGATTGTTACAGTGACAATGTCATGTTTTGTTGATTCAGTGACAATGTCATGTTGTGATTGTTACAGTGACAATGTCATGTTGTGATTGTTACAGTGACAGTGATTGTTACAATGTCATGTACCTGATTGTTACAGTCACAGTGTCATTTTGTGATTGTTACAGTGACAATGACATGTACCTGATTGTTACAGTCACAGTGTCATTTTGTGATTGTTACAGTGACAATGACATGTACCTGATTGTTACAGTGACAATGTCATGTTGTGATTGTTACAGTGACAATGTCATGTTGTGATTGTTACAGAGACAATATCATGTTGTGATTGTTACAGTGACAATATCATGTTGTGATTGTTACAGTGACAATATCATGTTGTGATTGTTACAGAGACAATATCATGTTGTGATTGTTACAGTGACAATGACATGTACTTGATTGTTACAGTGACAATGTCATGTTGTGATTGTTACAGTGACAATGTCATGTTGTGATTGTTACAGTGACAATGTCATGTACTTCATTGTTACAGTGACAATGTCATGTTGTGATTGTTACAGTGACAGTGATTGTTACAATGTCATGTACCTGATTGTTACAGTCACAGTGTCATTTTGTGATTGTCACAGTGACAATGACATGTACCTGATTGTTACAGTGACAATGTCATGTTGTGTTTGTTACAGTGACAACGTCATGTTGTGATTGTTACAGTGACGTCATGTACTTGATGGTTACAGTGACAACGTCATGTTGTGATTGTTACAGTGACGTCATGTACTTAATTGTTACAGTGACTGTCATGTTGTGATTGTTACAGTGACAATGACATGTACCTGATTTTTACAGAGACAATATCATGTTGTGATTGTTACAGTGACAATGTCATGTTGTGATTGTTACAGAGACAATATCATGTTGTGATTGTTACAGAGACAATATCATGTTGTGATTGTTACAGTGACAATGACATGTACTTGATTGTTACAGTGACAATGTCATGTTGTGATTGTTACAGTGACAATGTCATGTTGTGATTGTTACAGTGACAATGTCAGGTTGTGATTGTTACAGAGACAATATCATGTTGTGATTGTTACAGAAACAATATCATGTTGTGATTGTTACAGAGACAATATCATGTTGTGATTGTTACAGAGACAATATCATGTTGTGATTGTTACAGTGACAATGACATGTACTTGATTGTTACAGTGACAATGTCATGTTGTGATTGTTACAGTGACAATGTCATGTTGTGATTGTTACAGTGACAATGTCATGTTGTGATTGTTTCAGTGACAATGTCATGTTGTGATTGTTACAGTGACAATGTCATGTTGTGATTGTTACAGTGACAATGTCATGTTGTGATTGTTTCAGTGACAATGTCATGTTGTGATTGTTACAGTGACAATGTCATGTTGTGATTGTTACAGAGACAATATCATGTTGTGATTGTTACAGTGACAATGACATGTTGTGATTGTTACAGTGACAATATCATGTTGTGATTGTTACAGTGACAATGTCATGTTGTGATTGTTACAGTGACAATGTCATGTTGTGATTGTTACAGTGACAATGTCATGTTGTGATTGTTACAGTGACAATGTCATGTTGTGATTGTTACAGTGACAATGTCATGTTGTGATTGTTACAGTGACAATGTCATGTTGTGATTGTTTCAGTGACAATGTCATGTTGTGATTGTTACAGTGACAATGTCATGTTGTGATTGTTACAGTGACAATGTCATGTTGTGATTGTTACAGTGACAATGTCATGTTGTGATTGTTTCAGTGACAACGTCATGTTGTGATTGTTACAGTGACAATGTCATGTTGTGATTGTTACAGTGACAATGTCATGTTGTGATTGTTACAGAGACAATGTCATGTTGTGATTGTTACAGAGACAATGTCATGATGTGATTGTTACAGTGACAATGTCATGTTGTGATTGTTACAGTGACAATGTCATGTTGTGATTGTTACAGAGACAATATCATGTTGTGATTGTTACAGTGACGTCATGTAATTGATGGTTACAGTGACAATGTCATGTTGTGATTGTTACAGTGACAACGAGCTGCTCAAGTGTATGTGGCCAGAAGGGAAGCTGTCCGTGACTGAGGTTTGTTGTGTTTAGAGTTGAGGGACTTTTACTCTGACAGCCTTTTAAATGTGTTTAGCCTGGGGCAATTGTATTACTTGTTTACCGATATTGATCTCATGTAACCTGATAGCAAAATTAAATCAAAATCAGTATTTTAAGATAATTGATGTAATGTATTACTGCCCATTACCATTGATTACCATATATCATTGTGTGTATTACACAATTTAATAATTGATTCATTGTTCTGGGGAATAATTGCTATCCCTTTGCATGAATTGAATTCTTTTCTAGTGCTCAGGAGAGAACAAGCTTATTCAAAATGTCAATTGTATATTTTGAGATAAAGGTTACTAGACTATTTCCGTCATCTCACTTCAGACCACCAAGCGCCCCATCACAGCTGGCACCAGCTTCAAGAGCTCCATCATCTCTCTGGTGCAGAACCTGGCCTCCAAGGTAACGGGAGATTAGGGCTGGGATGAGTCCATATTTACTACCCAGAGACCCGACCCCCTATTACCTGACCCTACCCGGGTACCCGACCCCCCTATTACCTGACACCACCCGGGTACCCGACCCCCTATTACCTGACCCCACTATTACCTGACCCTACCCGGGTACCCAACCCCACTATTACCTGACCCTACCCGGGTACCCAACCCCCCTATTACCTGACCCTACCCGGGTACCCGACCCCCCTATTACCTGACCCTACCCGGGTACCCGCTATAGGTCTCAAGTTAGTTACAAAATGTTCAATTGGGAAAAGTTTTACCAGAGCAAAAAGTACTTAAATATGGTATTAAATGTTCTGATCGTGCAAATACTGAAGTTGACTGAAACTTTGACTTCACTTAGTTGTATAAAAGTCAGAAGGAATGTGTGCATAGTCAGAAAGAAATGCAAACTTTTACAACTTGAAGTGTAACCATGGAATTTTATTGTTATTGTCATTTAACAATATATCACGTGACTAACAACAGGCTCGGATAGTCCTGTGGGTACCGAGGTCCTACTCAGGAACCGCCCAACCCGAGTACCCGAGTTACCTGTGCCAGCCCTACGGGAGATACTGTCATTCAGTCAATTCTGTGGGTTTCGAGGATTTAGGATGCCAAATCACTCTTAAACTTCGTCTAGTTTATTCTAGCTCATCATCACATGTTCAAACAGATAGGTGAAATACTGGAGTAGTGCTGGTGGCTTGATTGACTTCAATACAATGCAGAAATATCGGAATATACTGATATTTAGACTCAAATAAATAAATGGTCACGTTAATAATGTCTTACTTTTCGGTTACTGAAGTTTTGTATTTAATGAATAACTACCGATTGTGCACAGAACAGTCTCTTGCACATAGTGATACTAACAACGAAAAACAGTTACTTCCCTTTACAACTTAAATGAAGCCCACTAAATATAAAATTAACCCAAACAATTAATCAAAATCCAACAACATCAGTAGCAGGCTTTCCTCCAGCTTCAAGGGGGCAGTGGGTGCTACAGTGCTTAAAGCGTTCGCTCTTCACGCCAAGGCTTGGGTTCGATTCCCTGGTCATGATATTGCAGAATATTGCTAGAATCGGTATGAAACCATGGCTTCTCATCAAGTATACTGTGTACCAATCTCATTAAAATCAGACCTTAGTTCTCGCTACCGCTAAACAAAGATCTGAAAACATCCCATTAGGGGTCACGTCAGAACGACCTTTCATCCGACCAATCAGTGCGTCACTTACCAGATTATGAAAGTGACAGTCGGAATGTGATTTCTAATCATGCAATCTCGAAAACTTTAACATGGGGTATTCCGAACGATAGGTACGGGTTTAACGACTGAATCCTTACAATCTAGACCATCTCAGAATGTTTTTTTGTTCAAGTTTCAAATTTGTAATCGAGAATTTGTTAAAATATGTTTCGAAGCGTAGTCTCCAATTTGAAATTTGTGCCGTAAAGCACGAGAAAGCTGCCTTCTGATTGGTCATTCCATTGGTCTTGTCAAGGTTCGCGCAAGGTCGGTCTGACGTGACCTGTAATGGGATGTCCTCAAATCTTTGTTTAGCGGTAGCGAGAACTAAGATCTGATTTTAATGAGATTGACTGTGTACAAGAATGTTTTGGGGAGGCATGATGGTGGCAGTCAAGTTATTGTTCAAGTTGAACCAAGAGTTTTGTATTTATATGTTACGTAAATCAACTTGTATGACATTGTCCTTTACAGCAGGCATATCTGTGTCAAGGTGCTGAGGTTCTCCTGTGCAAGTCATTGCAAAAAAATAATAATAGTCTTGGTCCTCAGGCACCACCCACATCCTCCTAAAGTGTGCCGCACGTTTCGTTTTTATTTCCATTCTTAAATTTAAAAAAAAATCCTGGCTCTAACCAACAATGTGATCCAATATAGCATGCAGTTACTTCCCTTTACATGTGCACTGCTTTACTGTGCTATGGTAATGACAGCAATAGGAGTTATGTATGCTTGTTTATGTAGGGAATCTCTTTCCCTGGTAGATGGTACACAACAGTTTATTTGGTTACATACTAGTTTGAATAAGCGAAAAACACAAAAAAACACCGCCTGGACGTCCCATATTTTCAATAGTAATCGGAACCATTTCTTTTATTTTTTTAAAGCCTTTGATATAGTAATATGAAGAATTTGTTGGTCCTTAATTTCTTTTGAACAGTATATGATTTTGAACAGTATATTTTCAGTATTCCTGCTTAAGGGGAATGTTTTCCTAGCTATGAACCTTGTACATAGCAAGTGAAATATTTGTTTCAAAATGATAGATAAGTGGCTGTTTAGACTAGCGCAAATGACTTTGAACACTTTTCCTTGTATGAAGGACCGCCTCTGTGGTCTAGTGGTAGAGCGTCCGTCTGGAGAGCGGAAGGTCCAGGGTTCAATCCCCGACCGCGTCATACCAAAAGACGTTAAAAGATGGTACTTGTTGTTACCCTGTCTTGCGCTCGGCATTAAGGGGCTAAAACAAGGACTGGTCGGCTCGGAGTCAGTATACCATGTATACTGTGTCTGAGTGGGGTATTCATGTTAAACTGCAGCATGGTATCTCAGTGAGCTAGCACTAAATCGGCATCAGTCCGGACTAGTACAAGCAGCCACACAAACACACACACGTACATGCACGTCGCTATATATGTGCAATAATCTTGGACGCGACGTTAAACCCCATTTCACCTCACCTTGTATGAAGTGGAATGAGTACTGTAAGCGGTTCACTAAACAAGCTGCGTGACCTTCACTTCAGGAGCCCCACTATGTGCGGTGTGTCAAGCCGAATGAGATCAAGTCGCCGGTGGTGTTCGACGACACGAGGGTGAAGCACCAGGTGATGTACCTGGGCCTGATGGAGAACGTCCGTGTGAGGAGGGCAGGGTTTGCCTACAGGATGGGCTACACCAGGTTCCTACAGAGGTGAGATTGACATGGTGAAAGTTGGGGTGTTGCGTCTCTAAGTTATGCCATAAACATATGATCGCGGGTACGAATCCCAGAATACTCTACTGTAAACGCCACATCTTACACTGTTACAAATAATTGTTTGTTTTCTGGTGTTTAAAGCTGCACTCAGCAATATTCCAGCTATATTACGGCGGTCTGTAAATAATCAAGTGTGGACCAGACAATCCAGTGATTGACATCATGAACACGATCCACGTGATTTGGATACGTTGACATGTGTCAACCAAGTCAGCAAGCCTGACCTTCCGATCCCGTTAGTCGCCTCTTGCGACAACAAAGTCTGCTGAAGACCAGTGCTAATTATATAACCCAGATCTTCATGGGTCTGTTACGATGAGTTCAAATTCTTCTTGTTATTAGTGCAGTAGAATGGTGGGAACTAGCTATGTTTTCAAAAATTCTGCAGTTAGGTGTCAAATTTGAAAACTTTGCAGGTATCAAATCTACATGTGACAACTGTAAAACAAAGGTTTATCTGTATCGTATCAATTTACGACTAGAACAAACAAAGTTCAGTCATCAAGCATCTGTTGTGTTTCAGGTACAAGTGTATCACGTCGAAGACATGGCCCAAGTTCCGGGGATCTGATTTTGATGGCGTCAAGAGTATTATACAGGAGCTGAACTTTGACAGTGATGTCAAATACGGACGCTCCAAACTGTTCATCCGATCCCCTCAGACCCTGTTCTCGCTGGAAGAAACCCGTGACTCCAAGATACCACCAATAGTGCTCTTCCTGCAAACGGTAAGGATTTGCACACCATATCATTAAGTCAATATTCTACTCCAATATCATACCTCCTGTGTTGAGATCTGGGGCGGTCGGTTAGCCTGGTGGTTAAAGCGTTTGCTCGTCACGTCGAAAACCCGGGTTTGATTCCCGACATGGGTACAATGTGTGGAGCCCATTTCTGGTGTCCCCCGCCGTGATATTGCTGGAATATTGCTAAAAGTGGCGTAAAAGCATACTCAATCACACACACTGTTTTAAGATCTGACAACACCTCCGTAGATCTTCATGGGAAGTAAACACTGAGGGAACTTTGATCACCTGGGCCCACTTGCACAAAGCGATCTTAGCGCTAAGATGATCGTAACTCCCATACTTTAACATAGGCTTACAATAGTCTTAGCGCTAAGATTGCTTTGTGCAAGGGGGCCCTGATCTTAATAAAGGAGGTTAGGTAAAATGGGTTTTTTTGTCGCGTGCAAGATTATTGCACTTATATAGAGTTATATAATGGATAACTTGATAGAGTGATAGCGTTTGTGTGTGCGTGCATGCATGCTTTTATAGTGCCAGCCCACAGAGATACCACGCAGTAGTTTAACATGAATATCCCACTCAGACACAGTATACTGACTCCGAGCCTTGTTTTAGCCCCTTAATGCCGAGCGCCAGACAGGGTAACAACAAGTACCATCTTTTAACGTCTTTTGGTATGATGCTGTGGGGATCGCACCCTGGACCTTCTGCTCTCCGGGCGGACGCTCTACTACTAGACCATGGAGGTGTTCTCTTATTGAAGGATGGGTTCTTTAAACACTGATCAGGCAACACTGTGTTGTTGTTTCAGCATTGGCGGGGAGGAATGGCCCGATCCCGGGTGAAGAAGATGAGAGCCATCTACCTGATCATGGGACGCTACAGGAAATACAAGATGAGATCCTACATCATGAGTCTTGTCGAGCGCTTCAGGTAAACCTGTAGACATGATAGAAGGCCTGATTCAGCACAGGAGGGAACACTCCTTATGAGGCCATCCCTCTCGGGATTCTTCAAACAGGCTGCAGAGAAGATTAGTTAAAAAAAGATGTTGTTAAGGCTTCTTGATTAAGGATTGTCATTTTGTAGCCTGTTGAAGTTTTTGGTCATTTGTAACTGAAATTTTAGTTTGTTTTAGACATCTGTCCGTATTATACCAATTCAAGAAAAAGTTTCGTTCGGTATGATTTAAATTATATTAGAAAGACACAAGAGGAGGAAGTTGAAGGAATATGAGTATATCAAAAAGCTTTAAAAGGCCTTCAGATTTAAAAAACCCACCAAAAATATGTCATTCCTGTTGTCAACTTGACAATACTTAAGTTAAACACATTCATTTTCCAGTGTTGATTTGCATAAATATGGAAATATTTGATGGCCTGGAAATAAGGTCTAGAAGTATTCGTGACCTGGACACTCTTAGAATTAGCAGGTATGTGTTTGTTTCAGGAATGTGAGGAACAAGAAGGACTATGGCAAGAATATCCAGTGGCCGCGACCTCCGTCCGTCCTGGAGGGACTGGTCAGCATGCTGCAGAGAATACACAACAGGTAAGTCCACTGTCAGTCCTCCACACGGACAGTCCTCCACACGGACAGTCCACACAGTCAGTCCTCCACATGGACAGTCCACACAGTCAGTCCTCTACAGGGACAGTCCACACGGTCAGTCCTCCACATGGACAGTCCACACAGTCAGTCCTCTACAGGGACAGTCCACACAGTCAGTCCTCCACATGGACAGTCCACACAGTCAGTCCTCTACAGGGACAGTCCACACGGTCAGTCCTCCACATGGACAGTCCACACGGTCAGTCCTCCACATGGACAGTCCACACGGACGGTCCTCCACACGGACAGTCCACACGGTCAGTCCTCCACATGGACAGTCCACACGGTCAGTCCTCCACACGGACAGTCCACACGGTCAGTCCTCCACACAGACGGTCCACACGGACGGTCCTCCACACGGACAGTCCTCTACATGGACAGTCCACACGGTCAGTCCTCCACATGGAGGGTCCACACGGACGGTCCTCCACACGGACAGTCCTCTATATGGACAGTCCACACAAGGACAGTCCACACGTGGAGAAGACTGGTGGTTGAACACCTGACCCTGTTCCATATGGCAATCTTAGAGCTGAGACAATCGTAACCCCATCTTTTTAGCACTGACTTACGACAGTCGTCGCACTCTGAGCACTTTGTGGAATGGGTCCCAGGTTTGATTCCCAACATCAGTACAATGTATCTGAGGCCATGATATTATTGGAATATGGCTAAAGTAGCATAAAACCAGACTCCCTCACTCACTTCTGGTGTTTTTGACCCGTGAAGATCCGGGGAAGAATAGGTCTTCAGCAACCCATGCTTGCCGTAAAAGGCGACCATGCTTGTCGTAAAAGGTGACTATGCTTGTAAAAGGCGACTAACAGGATTGGGTGGTCAGGCTCGCTGACTTGGTTGATGCGTGTCATCATATCCCAATTGCATGGATCGATGTTCATGATGTCAATCACAGGATTGTCTGGTCCAGACTCGATTATTTACAGACAGCCGTCATATAGCTGGAATATTGCTGAGTGCAGCGTGAAACAACACACCAACCAACCTGTTTTTCTTACCTCAGATGGAGAGCAAACATGATACTACGCAACATACCCAAGGAGGATCGGCCAGCTCTCCGCCTCAAATGTGCAGCGTCCGATGCTCTCAAGGGCCAGAGGATCGATTATGGCCTGAAGCGAAAGTGGGAGAGCAACTACCTGTCTTCGGTGAGGATCAAGGGGAGACAGTTCCATCTGCACTTCCAATACAGGAATATATCTAAGATTACAAACTATGTGCCCTCGGCAGCCTAATTTGGGAAAAATCAATACTTTGTTTAAAATTGGGATTTTGACAACGTTTGTTTGTTTGTTCATTCAGAAGTACTAAAGAGTGCAATGATTTCAATAATGTAAACCTAGGCTTTGCATCCTCTTGATTGTTCTTGTTATTGGTCATACAGGGAAATGAAAATCACCTTGACAAAGCAATAGCATGATTTGGAAAAACTAATTGATTACAATTTGAGGATGTTGTTAACAGTTGGATCATACTATTGGCCTCTGAGCAGGTTGAGTAGTTTTGTTTATATATGGGGCAGACACGGACTGAATATTGGCCTCTGAGCAGGTAGAGTAGTTTTGTTTATATATGGGGCAGACATGGACTGAATATCGGCCTCTGAGCAGGTTCAGTAGATTTGTTTATATATGGGCAGACATGGACTGAATATCGGCCTCTGAGCAGGTTGAGTAGTTTTGTTTATATATGGGCAGACATGGACTGAATACTGGCGTCCAAGCAGGTTGAGTAGTTTTGTTTATATATGGGCAGACATGGACTGAATACTGGCGTCCAAGCAGGTTGAGTAGTTTTGTTTATATATGGGGCAGACATGGACTGAATACTGGCGTCCGAGCAGGTTGAGTAGTTTTGTTTATATATGGGGCAGACATGGACTGAATATCGGCCTCTGAGCAGGTTGAATTGTTTTGTTTATATATGGGGCAGGCATGGACTGAATACTGGCGTCCGAGCAGGTTGAGTAGTTTTGTTTATATATGGGGCAGACATGGACTGAATACTGGCGTCCGAGCAGGTTGAGTAGTTTTGTTTATATATGGGGCAGACATGGACTGAATATCGGCCTCTGAGCAGGTTGAATTGTTTTGTTTATATATGGGGCAGACATGGACTGAATACTGGCGTCCGAGCAGGTTGAGTAGTTTTGTTTATATATGGGGCAGACATGGACTGAATACTGGCGTCCGAGCAGGTTGAGTAGTTTTGTTTATATAAGGGCAGACATGGACTGAATACTGGCGTCCGAGCAGGTTGAGTAGTTTTGTTTATATATGGGGCAGACATGGACTGAATACTGGCGTCCGAGCAGGTTCAGTAGTTTTGTTTATATATGGGGCAGACATGGACTGAATATCGGTCTCTGAGCAGGTAGAGTAGTTTTGTTTATATATGGGTCTGGATAACTCTGTTCCATATCGTGTACTGTGTTGGTTGTGGTGGATCTGATACCAATGACTTGTTTCTGTGTCAGACCAAAGACAACAGCTCCACCCATGACTTTGTGTCCCAGATGAGTGTCCTCAAGAGTCAGGACCACTACAGCCGGGTCCTCTTCTCATCCTTTGTCAAGAAGGTAAGAGTGGATCGAATGGCGGAGCAGGAGGGATGAAGCACTGTTGCCGTGATAGATACATGTTGGTGTGATAGATACATGTTGGTGTGATAGATACATGTTGGTGTGATAGATACGTGTTGCTGTGATAGATACATGTTGCCGTGATGGATACGTGTTGCCATGATAAATATGTGTTGTCTTGAAAGATACGTGTTGCCGTGATAGATACGTCTTGCCGTGATTTGATCTTGGTGGGTTCTACAGGTGACTGTGTTCTAGAAATGATTTAAACACAGGTGGAGTAATTTCACATTTCTAGGTACCGTGGATTGTTGCACATGAAATCATTGACAAGATTGTCTGGCCCAAAAGAAAAGAAGAGTTATGGGATTTTATATAATAATAATGATAATGATTACAACACCTATAATTACAATAACAACAACAAGTATCACCTACTTCTGAGACTGACAATGACGACAACCAGAAATGTTAAAATCAATGTTTTGAAGCTTTCTTTGTCGAGTTCCTCGTTGCCACAAGGTAACATAAGACTTATTTATTCAGGCAAACAAATTCAACAAAACTGCTGACAGGGGTGTGGTCATCACAGACAAATACATCTACAAGCTTGACCCCAAGAAGAAGTTCAAAGCGATGAGGAAGGGGACGCCTATTTCAGATGTGAGTATCATATATACGTCTACTAACAGACGGAGCATCAGTGGCCAGTTGTCTGAGGCGTTGCAATTCACTGTGCAGAGTTGGGCACGCCAGAAATCTATGATTGTGGGTTCGAATCCATGTTCGCCCTGATTATGTTCCTAGGTTTGTCAGCACCATACCCGTGCTTGTGGGTTTCACTGAAATGGTAAACGTCTGAGACCTGCATCACTTCGGGCTTTCCTCCCACATTAAGCTGACACGCCATGATATAACTGGAATACTGTTAAAAGCAGCGTTAAACCCAACTCACTCACTGCTCCCTTGGGCATGCCAGAACCCTGTGTTCATAGGTTTGAATCCCTGATTTGCCCCGATTATGTTTCTAGGTTTGTCAGCACCGTACCCATGATTGTGGGTTTGAATCCCTGATTTGCCCTGATTATGTTTCTAGGTTTGTCAGCACCGTACCCATGATCGTGGGTTTCACCAAAGTGGTAAACGTCTAAAACCTGCATCACACACACCTCATCACAATCTATACCCTCTCACCCATGGTTTACGTGTACCAGACTGAAAGCTGAAATTGTTCTTCAAATTTATGGCTCATTTCGCCTAGAATTTTTGTGAAGAACCAAATTATGCACAAAAGAGAATAAATTGATAATCATGTGTAACATCAATCAACATATATGTTTTTTGATTACACCATTCATATGTCCATTTCAAGAAAGTTTACGATTCGCTTATGAAAATATGTTAAATATAGAGTTGAAATGTCTGTACTGTTCCCACACAAGGGACAGGTGTAATTTCAGTTATTCAATGGGACCCGTGAAGGTTCCGGGGTAGAATAGGTCTTCAGCAACCCATACTTGCCTTAAAAGGCGACTATGCTTGTCGTAAAAGGCGACTATGCTTGTCGTAAAAGGCGACTAACAGGATCAGGTGGTCAGGCTCGCTGACTTGGTTGATACATGTCATCGATCCCAAATGTGTGGATCGATGCTCATGCTGTCAATCACTGGATTGTCTGGTCCAGACTCGATTATTTACAGACCGCTGTCATATAGCTGGAATATTGCTGAGTGCGCGTTAAACAACAAACAAACAAACAAACAAACAAAGAAAAACGAAACAGTTATTCCATGGAAACATTCAGGAATTGGAATTGTAAAAGGCGGAGGAAAGTATGTCCACTTGAACAAGATATCTAAATGTGCCAATGTGCTTATCTTCATTTATGCGTCAAAGGTGCTTTGTTGAATTGACATCATCTGATATCTGTATCAAATTTTTAAAAATTGTTTTAAGACTTCATTTAACCACTTGCTGTCTCTCTGCCCAGGTGACGGGTCTGGCAGTGTCTCCGGAGCGTGACCAGCTGATTGTGGTCCACCTGAACAGCGGCAATGATCTGGTCCTCTGTCTACAGAGCAAGGTCAACGAGGAGAGAGTTGGGGAGATGGTCGGGGCTCTTGCCTCCTTCTGGCGCAGGTAGGTCATGATCATGGTTTTCAAATCCCACTTTACCTGATAAGTATTCGTGATTTGTTAAAAACATACTTTAACAGTAGTTGTAAAGTCAGTGGTTTGCATAGACCAGACTTGATCATTTAAAAGCCACCGTCATATAACTGGCTATTGATGAGTAGAAGCACTAAATAACAAACAAACAAACAAACAAACAAATAATGTAATGCAGTCAATGCAATGTCAGAATACTTAAGACTTTGTTAAGTTTTCAAATATTTTAATTTTCGAGTGAAAAAAAATGTTTTGTTCTAATTTTGTCAGCACAGGCACTTCGTGTAAGATCGTAGATGAATGCCTGCATGTGTGATTTTCGTGTTTACTGGTACAGAAAACCAAGAATTTGGACCAATGCTCATTGTGTTTGCCCTCAATGTCGAGATGTACCAAATTTTAATTTCATTTCATTTCATTTATCCTCTAACCCCTGCTGGGGCGGTCGGGTAGCCTAGTGGTTAAAGCGTTCGCTCGTCACGCCGAAGACCCGGGTTCGAATCCCGACATGGGTACAATGTGTGAAGCCCATTTCTGGTGTCCCCCGCCGTGATATTGCTGGAATATTGCTAAAAGCGGCGTAAAACCAAACTCACTCACTCACTCACTCACTCTAACCCCTGCTGAATTTTTTTTTAAATTTTCAGAACATATAAAAAAGAGCTGAAGGTCACTGTAGCAAAGAATGTGTCCTGTATGCTTGGGAACAAACAACGAAATATTTTTATCCGATCTACAGCAGTGAATGGTGGGCCGGTGTTCAAGAAGGAAGGACAGGATCTGGCACTGATGTGGCCGTCAACGTAGCGAAGCCATGGCACAGATTACTCACATCTAGTTGACACTCGCACTGACAGCAGGGCGGGACTACAGCTTTCATACAAGACAAGACAACAATCTCAACTATTGGACTCAAGTATCTGTGTATTCACGCACTGACAAATGGGTTACCCATGTCTGAAATTATGTAACCATTTGCTCAAGTGTTGAAGTATCATTAGAAGTGTTGGAATTCAAGATTTGATTGTTTCAGATCACATCTTTAAACCGTATGAAATTTTTGTTTAAAGGTCACAATGCGCATATTCATGCCAGTTTATCACCAGTGCAATTTGTGTGTTAAAAACTTGTTTAAACTAAATAGTGGTTGGGTAGCCCAGTGGTTAGTGTTTGCTCGTCACACCGAACGCTAGGGTTTTATTCCACTGTGGTACGATTCTGGTGTTATTATTGTGATAATGCTGAAGTGTTGTTGAAAAAGGTGTAAAACCCAACTCTCCGAAAACTTATCTATAAAAGTGACAACTAAAAATATATACCCAGTTATTTTTGTCCTCTACTGTACTTGACAGAATGATATGTATCAACTTTTATTTTCATTTCTTTCATATTTGCCCATGTACAGAGTAACAGATTTACACATGGATGTATTGAGTGATTCATCTTGTGGTGGAGAAGAAAGATTCTCATTGGCTAAAATATCACTATTCACTAAATTTGTCAGTATAATATTTCATGTTGACATTTAATCATGTCATGATAAATGATGATGATGATGATGATGATGATTGATTTAAGATATTTGTGGTATCGATATCCATGCTTGTGGTATCTATGTGCATGTTTGCGGTATCGATATCCATGTTTACTGTATCAATATCCATGCTTGCTGTATCGATATCCATGTTTGCAGTATCGATATCCATGTTTGCAGTATCGCTATACATGTTTGCATACTGCAAGGGACATCATACCATGACTGACATATTGTGATATATCAACGTATCGTTATACTCCTGATAACACTGACAATGTATCAACATTATTTTTACAATGGAATATATTTGTTATTTTATTCATATTGTACATAAAGTCACCGGGTGCAGTTTCCATACTAATTTTATGTCAGCAAAGCAGGAGAGAACATGTTTGTCATTTCACTACTGCATGCTGGGACCTGAGCATAAAATATCATTGGCCAATTCAGGTCATCAGTGTCATCCGAGTCCTTCAAGAAGTTTTTGTACATTCGTGATGGAAATTATTAATTGTTGACTTCACAGCCTTAGAAGTGTTCTTTGATGTTTAATAATGCCTTACCCCAGTTAGCGCCTTAGAAGAAGTCTCTGACAATCAGTAATGCCTTGCCGCATTTGGAAACCTGGATAACGCCTTAGAAGAAGTTCTCTCTGACGTTCAGTAATGCCTTACTCAGGTCTCAAACTGGAGGCTGACGTTTGATAATGTCTTTTCCCATTTTGGAACCTGGGTAACGCCTTAGAAGAGGTCTTCTTTGATATTCAGTAATGCCTTACTCCATTTTGTATGTTCAAGACTATATTTTCAATGAACGGTTGTCTTGAAATGTCAAGGAGGAGTCAACTGACCGGTCAAATCAGCTCCTATAATCTTTGATATTTTACAAGATTATTTGTACCCGTATGTCAATTTGAGAAAGTAGTTGAAAATAATAGTGAAATGAAATCTTTTTTATTTCACCATGCACTGACATGCTGAGTTCTGTCATATTTAAAAAATGCACTTGATTTATGGTCAAATTGTATCGGCTTGCGTACCATTGTGTCTGAAATAATTGCCAGTCAGTTGTTGTTCAAGAATCAAATTTGGTGTGATTTATTTCTGTTTGAATGGGACTGTCGACACCTGTGTGTCCTGAACTCAACATGAAATATAGTTAATGTAAATATTGGGTAACTTATAGTCCTGAATAAGCCTAGACTCCTTTCTTCAAAGCGCTGGTAGGGCTACGACAGTCATAAGTCTATGTTAAAGTATGGAGGTTAGATCACATTACCAGTATGATCGCTTTGTGGAACGGACCCCTGGGCCCCGTGCCTCAAAGCGATCTCGGCACTAAGGTGATCATTAGTCCCGTATTTTAACATAGGCTTACCAACATCATAGCGCTAAGATCACTTTGAGGAATGAGACCCTGAAGTTTTAGTTTTTGCAAAGCACTGCATGCTTACGAGGAGGTGCTTACGATGCCTACGAAATGTCGACTTATCGGTATAGTTATGGTAGCCACTTGATAGCCACATTTAATATCATAACCATTTATGTAGCAGACTGGTAGACAGAAAACAGAATGTTTCCAAGTTAAAATTATGCTGATGGTTATAAGTATAACATTGTTTGACCTAAAACCAGAAGTTATGACCGTCAGTTTTAGAAATACCGTATTCGACGTAATAAGCGCCCCTCTCTAATAAGCGCCCACAGCGCTATTTGCTAATATATTGGCAAGTGAACAATTCCAATTAGCACCCCTTACGATTGATCAATGTACACAAGACTTACTTATTCGTGTATAATACGCACTTGTGTGTTATATGCACCCTTAATTATGGGCAATGAAAATTCTGGAAAAATATATCTGTCATATATAAACATTACAGGCTGTCAGCATAAACCACGAATTTATCCTTTAACTCTGATTTTTTCACCAAAATAATATTCTAATAAGAGCCCCCTATTTCTAATTTTGAGAGTGCCCTAGGCGCTTATTACGTCGAATACGGTATTTAGAAATGATGAGGTTTAGAAGTAGGTGATGCCCTGGCAATCAGGTAGCAGGGGTTACAACTATAGGTTTGATTGTGCTGTGGAGGATGGACTTGACTGAAGTGCTGCTGTGTTTGTGTGTAGGATTATGTATTCGGATTATGTAAAGTCAGTTTCCAAATATAGTAGAGGGTTTTAATCCCTGTGTGGATTATGTGGTAGAAATGGCCCCCAGTGAGCTGTGTTTGTTGTCACAGCTGATGAGGGGCACGGGTGGCCCAGTCGTCTAAGGCGCCGCGATTCGCTGTGCAGAGTTACGTCCCTTGGGCACTCCAGAAATCTATGATTGTGGGTTCGAATCCCGGTTCGCCCCGATTATGTTTCTAGGTTTGTCAGCACCATACCCGTGCCCGTGGGTTTCACCGAAGTGGTAAACGTCTGTGACCTGCATCACTTCGGGCTTTCCTCCCACATTAAGTTGACACGCCGCGATATAACTGGAATACTGTTAAAAGCGGCGTTAAACCAAACTCACTCACTCACTCACTCACTCACAGCTGATGAAGATGGAGCGGGTGGCATCGATCTTTGCTGAGTGACACCGTCATGTGATGGTTTCATGATTTCCCTCATCCGGACTTACATATTGTTTTCAATTATAAAGATATGCTACTAAAACTGTGCAACTGTGAGGTGCACGAGAAAATATATTATACATCAAAGTGACCATAACTCTAGCACTCCGTGTGGCTTCTGTGACAGCATGTGATGTAAACAAAGGAAAACTACCCAAATAGGTTTTCGTGTTGTCTTATTTTCTTATTGAAAGTTAACAATGACATATGTTTATCTTGATGTGTGGACTCGTAAAAAATGAAACAGAAGAAAATATCGTCATTGTTGCTGTGAATAATGTGATTTGGCACTGTCACGGTATGTTGGTAAGCGTAAGTTGTAAGTATCGGAGGGACACAATTTCGCTGAAATTTAGGTTATCATTTTTGAATGAAATTTTGTATAAAATTAATAAAATAGATGACAAACATAAGGTCAGATATACAGTGAACATTGATTGATTACCAGATAGTGTAACAACAGGATTAACTTGCGTAAATTCAATACAGATTTGTTGATATGCTTTTTCCGATGACAGATCATGACAGCCTGAAATGATACTAAAGAAAAGTCTGTGCGTATTATACACGAGAGATATTTCTTTTCAGGATTTAATTGCCCATAATTGCATATTATACACAAGTAAATACGGTAATTATTTATAGGCTTTTGTGTTTAGGGAGCAATACAGAGGAAGAGCTTTAAGTTACATTATTGCCTTTAATGCCACATTTCAAAACATCTGAACTTAAGAAGAGGAATATTAACCCCCAATTTTGAACCAAATGACAATTTTTTTCCCATTTGCCTGCCAAAGGCACTTACCGTGATAGTTGAGAATCCTACATTCATCCCTGTGTTATGTTCAAGTATAGGTTCCTCCATGAACCCATCTACAATAGTGAGTGAGTAAGTGAGTATGGTTTTATGCCGCTTTTAGCAATATTCCAGCAATATCACGGTGGGGGACACCAGAAATGGGCTTCACACATTGTACCCATGTCGGGAATCGAACCTGGGTGTTCGGCGTGACGATCAACAACTTTAACAACTAGGCTACCCGACCGCCCCCCATCTACAACAGACTTTAAACCTAGCCAGCACTACTTCTAGTTGCCATAGTTATAGATGTCATGTCTGTCATTGTACAAAGTGCCTGTACCATGTGCTCATGTGTGTGACTAGTGTACATAGTGTACAATATTTCAACAATATGGATTGTGTAATAAGATCTGATAGAACCATGAGCAGTGTATGATTTGTGTTAAGTTGATTTAAGTATTCCAAAGATGTCAGTCAATATTTGTGAAATGTTAATTGCTATGTTAGATGCCTGTTGATATGAGCTTTGTGGCTCTTCACTAGAGAGATGTACATCGGTATCTCTGACTTTGACATTGTATTTGTTGATTTGATAATAGTATGATTCAGTAATTTATTTGGCTAAACAATTAGGGGTGTCACGATACAGGTACCTCACAATACGATACGTATCTCAATTTTGAGGTCAAGATACGATCTCTATACAGCAATACTGACCTTTTATGCGTAAATGTAGAAGCAAACTTTTTAATTACATATCACATTCACAATTATGTGTTCTAATCACTCTCAGTAGATTATTTTGTAAAATGATAATACTTAAAAGGTTGATTGTTTATTCAAACAAGTGTCAGAAACAAACAAATTTTCGTATGTGTCAAATTCAGAAAACATGATGACATTTCGATGCGAATAAAAAAATAAATCGAAATGCAAACAATTGGATGCAGATTTCAATAGAATTTCATATCGATATAATTATCATGTATCTGATATCGTATCATGAGAATTATCTACCAGTGCACCGGTACAATCGGTGAATCGTGACATCCCTAATAACAATACAGATCTAAGCCTTGCTTTGTGTCGTCTCCAGTCAAGGTTCATTCTGGCTATCATCAGCAGTGTGTGGAGATAGTTTGGTTGTGCCTATTCCAGAGCTACTATTTCAGGGTTGGTGAGCACATACAGTAAACTACGGTTATAACGAACTCAAAGGGACCACTAATTTTAGTTCGTTATAACCATAATTCGTTGTAAGCATATGTACAACAAATTTACAGTAAATGGACAGGACCAAAACAGTTCGTTATATCCGTCAGTTCCTTATAAGCGTGTTCACTAAAAACGTAGTTTACTGTATTCTGATTCTGTAAGACATGAGTTATCTGTCTTTTGAATGCCTATTCCCTTTGGTAAAAAAAACAAACAAATATTGTGTAAAGCACATAAAGGCGAACATGTAATAAATATATTTTGGCTGAAGTAAAACTTGATGTGTAAGTTTGTCTAAGATCTGATGGAGTTTGATGATATGAATGGTAGAATGCTTATAGCATCAAATCTTTAGAAAATTTTCTCCTCTCAATTAATGCAAATAATAAATTGAAGTCAGTCTTTGCCAATATTAAGAACAGTCAGAATATTCACCAGACAACCATATCCAATTACGAGAGATGCTAAATGTTCAAGAGAAAACCAGTATCAAGATAGAATCTGTTAGAATATGTACCAGCCAGGCAATATTTAGAAAGAATATGTAAGAATATTCAACTGCCAAGCTATATCAATATAGAATATGTTAAAATAGTCACTAGCCAGCCAGTATGAGTGCACTACATAGTACACAGTACCATCAGAGGACATGCTGCAAACCCGTTACCCTATGCCAGTGTATATATGTATTTATCCAATAATGATAATTATTATGATAATAATTCCATTTATGAATGTGCCAGATCACTTTTATCAAGTAAATGCTCATGGCACTATGTTGTTAATACCCTAGTCTTTGGATCAGTGTGCACTTAAATCCATTCTCCACTCCCTGGGGAGTATACAACCCCTAGTGCTGTATGAGGGGCTAGAAGGTTTACATTTCCGTTTCATCCTTCTGAATATTCATTCTCTGGTGGTGAACAGAGGTATATTTCAACCACTTGGTGTGAGGTGGGACTTAAAGCCCAAGAAACTCAGAAGAAGAGCTGCTGAACATGTCACCCATCCACCTACTCTCCGCCACCAGTGTTGCATAACTTGGTCTGATTAATGACCTGTGTGAAGTGCAACGCACGTGCCACCACATTAGGAGAGAGAACTTGCTGTATACTGGGTGCCATTGTACAAAACAACCTTAGCACTAAGACTGTCATAAGTCTATGTTAAGGTAAGGGAGTTACAATCACCTTAGCGCTAAGATCGCTTTGTACAACGGCACCCTGATCCCCAATGCTAGTGTACTATATGTGTATTTATCCTGTACTTCTGAC